CCGGGGCGCGCCCCGGAGAGGTTGATCGCTGCTGCGGGTGTCTGCGGCGCTGCCCCCATGGCGAGCTACTCCCGCGTCCTGCTTCGGATGCTCCCGCTGCGGCGCTGGCGGCTGGCCGGCCTGGGCCCCGTCTGGCTCAGCGAGCCGCAGCCGGCGTGCAGGCTGCTGTGGCCGTCCAGCCCCAGCTTCGTGGACCGCGTGATGGGCGACGTGGAGCGGCAGTTCCAGGAGATGGAGAAGATGAGCCGCGCCTTCTTCCAGGCGGCGCCGCTCGCCACCTGGGAGCGCGGAGGCCGGGAGGAAGCGTCGGAGGAGAGCGCCCGCCCGGCCGGGGAGGACGGCCGGCCTGAAGGGCAGTACCGCTTCTCGGTGGACGTGGCCGGCTTTGCGCCCGAGGAGATGACGGTGAACCTGGAGGGAAGGAAAGTGACGGTGACCGCCCAGCGCCACAGGCAGAGCGAAGGCAGCGGCGGCGGCGGCGGCTCCTGGGTGGAGCGCCAGGAGCTCCGCCGAGAGACCCTCCTGCCGCCCGATGTGGACCTGCAGGCCGTCACGTGCTCGTTGGCCCCGGACGGACAGCTGTGCATCGAAGCCCCGCGCCTGGCCTCGTCGGCGTCCGCGCAAAAAGCCATCCCCATCGATGTCAAGCCGGCGGCCGATGCGAGTCTCGGCGGGGAGGAGAAGCCCAAGGACCCCTGACCGCGTGGACGCTCCCCCCACCCTCGCACCCACCCCGCGAAAACGAGCAGGCTCAGCGGCTGGCCGGAAAGTCTCTGCGGGGCCGAGCAGCCGAGCCTCGATTCTCTTCCTCCTTTCCTTGTGTGCAAGGAAGCCCCTTTCGATTTACACGCGGACGGAGGCCTGCCTGCCTGCCTGTTGTGTTACGTTGCTCCAGCACCAACGCGATAGGATAAGCTGAAGATTTCAGAGGGTGTGCAGGAAACAGACTGGAAAGGGAGTGGGTGGGAAGGGAGGAGTGGGTTGCCCTCTACTGTACACATGGAAGTTTGAATTCTTAAATGAGGGTGAAATGTGACTGTGAGCAAGCATGGTGTTCTTTATAAGGACACAAAGGTGGACATTGGGTAACTGTTAAACGTTTTCTTAAGAATAAACTTATTTTGATTTTAAAAATTCATCTGACTGCCTGTAACCAGATACTTCAGTCGTTTACAGAGTTTATGTATTAAAAAAGGTACAAAATCAGGATAAAACGTTTAAAATAGTAACTAAGAATAAGAAACTGTAGAACTGTGAAAAATGGCATTCCTGTATACAATTAATCCCCAAAGACCCTCTGGGAGAATCACATTTTCACCTCCTGGAAGGCCATGAGAATGGAAAGAAGCAAAGTTACATTGTTTGCTTCCTCTGTTTGGAAATTGGCATTTTTCTGAATGGAACAACTGGTAACCCACTTGGTCAAACCTCGCACAGGGCCTATTGTAGCTGTAGTGCAGCTGTGTTAGCAACTTGCTGTCAGTGGTTCCTCCTAATGCAATCCAGCTCATTCTGCTAATGAGTTCTGGGAGTTGGGAGGAAGATGGGGAAATGACCTGTTTATGGCCAATGTACTGGTGGTCATTTGGTGACTGCCCTGTTGAACAACCGTTTGCAGTTACAACAGTGATGAAAAAGTTGTAAGGTTTGCCCCGTTCGACAGAGAAACTCCCGTGGTTCACAAAAGAGGTTTACTCATGCGTAACGTAGCCGTCACAAGCAAAGCCAGAACTGGCTTGGTACATTTACATTACTCCTTTATAGTTGTCTCAATCCCCCCGCGGGCCCCGTTGCTAGGTTACATATTACAAATTAGATTGCAGATTGCCCCCTGTAATCCCCCGCTTCTACTGGAATGGCAGGTTCAGCCCAGTTCTCTGGTTTCTTTGATTGTTGCATGGTCGTTGCCTTCGTTGGGGCTCCTGTCGCGCGCCCAGCCGGGAGCATCCCCTCGCGCGCTGATCTCTTCCTCCATTCCGCGCTCTCTCCTTTGTCTATAGCGCCCGCGGCCCTCCGGCTTAACACAAGGCATCCGCTCCAGATTAGTGAAGTGGCGCCAGGGGGCCCATTCGTTAGCTTGCGGTTTCGCTTTTCCTCTTTCTGCGCTACCGCTCGAGCGGTGAAATTGACTAAAGCGCGGCTGGGCAAGTTCCTAGGCGTGCGGGGCAGGCTGAACCTGACAAAAGTAACTGCAAACAATCCTCACATTTACGACCTTCACAAATCTGTTAAGCAAAGGAAAGCTGAAGTAAGATCATAAGCAGTTTCACTTCGTGACAGCTTTGCTTAATGACCAAGTTGCCAGTCCCAATTGTCACCAAACAAGTACTTAAAAGTCCGACTCTTTGTGACCCCATGAACCATATCGCGCCAGGCCTTCCTGTCCTTCACTGCCTCCCTGAGTTTGCTCAGT